CTATATGCTAAACGATGCAGGACGCTCCATAAGGCTGAATCTTGGCCCGATCCAAAAAATTCTTGAATGACTGGAAAATGGACCCGAAAAGGGCAAAAACTCGTACAATGTATGCCCGGCTTAAAGAGGCCAAGTACAACGTATAGTGTGATGCAGTGACATAGTTAAATTGGCAAAAACCACTTAAAAACTGTGCGATTTGTTTTTTGCCCTTTTCGGGGCGACTTTCCAGTCGTGCGAGAATTTTTCGATTGGCCCGACTTTCAGCCTGATCGAGCGTCATGTATTGTACAGGTGGGTAGCAAGGGCCGATCAGCCTCTCACTACCAATCAGGAATCGTGATGCTGGGAGAAAATCAGACATTTTTGATTTTCAGTCAACCGTCGTGGGCAAATCGCTCACTGGGCAAACAAGGATTCTTCTGAAGCATGGCGGGAATGCAATGAGTGAAATTGACAGACCGTAGTAGCCACGTTTGCACAGCCATGTCTTTGTCCAAATACGTCATCTCCTTTTCTTTTTAGGGCTTTCAGCACAAAATTGCCCAAATTGTCAAAGCAGCGCTCTAGTCACTCTAGTGAGCTTCATATTCCTCTTCTACTCGTTTGGCTTCCGGATAGACGAGTCCGAGTAGCGCCGTCTCACTGCGGAGCTGAGTCCCATGTGGTTTTTAGACGTACAGTGTGAGCAGGTGGATGGCATTTGAGCGTTGGGCCGCACAGTGTCAGAACAAAGTGAGCTGAGAACTCGTACTGTGCAACAAAACTGCAGGGTAAAAATAGTTAAGAGCTGCCTCGTAGTAACGACAAGGTCCTTTCCTCCATGTTGGAAGAAAAACAACAATATTTCATGACAAATTAATCCTCTTTAGTAACGAAGGCAATAGTTCATCAAATATACGCCTTTAGTTGACTTTGAAAGGCTTAATAAAAGCAGGAAACTTCTAACTTATTTTCAAATTGTTTGATGCTTTTCAATAAGATAATTTTGGAAAATTTTAAATGTATGTAACCTGAAACCTTTGGTTCTGAGAAATTACTATGTGCCAAAAGGCTTTTTAAAGATCGACGATTGGTCATATTGCACAACTGTTCAAAAAAAGCCAGACATGTCCTCTCAATCTGACACTGGAGCTTTTAGAAGGTAGAAAGACTCTGAAGAATGAACGTTTAAACTGATCAAGCGATAACTATTTACCTGTTATTACACCTTTATGTGGTTTATTTTCAGCAGCGTGATTGATCTCCTGTGGAACTGGCGACTCAAATGTCCCACTTGTGCCTTTTTTTTGTTTACACTACAAACATGATCTGGAAATAAGAAAAAAAATCTTAAATTAGGTGCATCTACCTTTAATTTGAGAAGGTAAATAAGATGATTTGCCAATGGAATAAGATTTTTTTACTCTTACAATAAGGTATTTAGATGATTTTCTCAGAAAAGCCTTTTAGTCACCAAGACAGGTTGTGGTAAAACAGGTTTATGCTGAGTTTCAGGAAAAACAAGCAAATCTAATGAAGCAAACATTCCTGAGTTGAGCTCTTGGCATATTTCTTCAGTACTGTGATCATATCTGTACCCATTTTTTTGGATTTTACTCTTGCGTCCCATTTATTTCAAAACGCTCGCCAGCAAAATAAAAACTCTCGATTGTATGTTAAACTAGTTCTGTGTGGGCATGCAGGTGGCGCAGTGGTTAGCGCACGACCCATGTAGGGAGGCCTTAGCCCTC